TCAGGCCCCACGACCGGACCCCCCAAAAAAAAGTCTCAAGGATTTTCCTGTGGGGGCTGGCTCCAAACCCTGACCCCTGACTCTCAGCCTCCTAAGTCGCTAGGGTTACCAGCAGGGGCCTGTGCCCAGCATGGGTTGAACTCTTGGTCCCCAGCTGGTGGAACTGTTTTGGGAGGTTTTTGGAAATGTTAGGCTCTGGAGCCGGGGGTGGGGCGCGGGGTTAAAGGGTGTCTGGCCCCTGGCCCTGGCCGGTCTCCTGGCTTTTCCTGAGCCTCTGCACTGAGACAGAGGGGCAGCCCTGCCGTGCTCCTGCCGGGCTAATGTTCTGAACAAAACCCTCAGAACCATGACCCGGAATCGATCCTTCCACTCCTGTGTTGTGAGCTCTGCGTGGCGGTGTGATCCTCCACTCCTGTGTTGTGAGCTCTGCGTGGCGGTGTGATCCTCCACTCCTGCGTTGTGAGCTCTGCGTGGTGTGATCCTCCACTCCTGCGTTGTGAGCTCTGCGTGGTGTGATCCTCCCACTCCTGCGTTGTGAGCTCTGCGTGGTGGTGTGATCCTCCACTCCTGTGTTGTGAGCTCTGCGTGGTGGTGTGATCCTCCACTCCTGTGTTGTGAGCTCTGCGTGGTGGTGTGATCCTCCACTCCTGTGTTGTGAGCTCTGCGTGGTGTGATCTCTCCACTCCTGCGTTGTGAGCTCTGCGTGGCGGTGTGATCTCTCCACTCCTGCGTTGTGAGCTCTGCGTGGTGTGATCCTCCACTCCTGCGTTGTGAGCTCTGTGTGGTGTGATCCTCCACTCCTGTGTTGTGAGCTCTGTGTGGTGTGATCCTCCACTCCTGCGTTGTGAGCTCTGCGTGGTGTGATCCTCCACTCCTGCGTTGTGAGCTCTGTGTGGCGGTGTGAGCCCTCCACTCCTGCGTTGTGAGCTCTGCATGGCGGTGTGATCCTCCACTCCTGCGTTGTGAGCGGCGGCCTGGTGTTTGGCCGCCAGTCTCGCTCCCCTCTGCCAGCTCAGCCACCCTCACCTGGCCGTGGAGGCCACTCTTGCTCTTTTGTCGGGAAGGACGCTGGTGAGACAGTAACCTGTGAAGCCCAGGGTCCTCTGGGCGTTGGAGTCCGTCAATCCGAAGGTCCAAAGAGCCTGCCTCCAATGTGGGCCTGTCTGCCTGTGGTGGCTGAGACCCACCACTCAACAGATGAGGAGCGACCTCCATCAGGCACCCCACTCCCCAGAGAGGGTTGGCGCTTTGTAGAGGTCACACAGCGAGCAGAAGGGAGGGAGGAGCTCCCCCAGCTCCCGCCTGGATCTCGGTACAAGGGCCCAGGGAGGGTGGCAGCTCTGGGTGTTGGTAACTGTCACTGATAGTGTCCACCCGGTGACATTTATGATGCCCTGGGGATGTTTCCCATGCCAAATAGCTCAGCAGGGGCCCCATATGGAGGATGAATGCGTGAAATCTAGGACAGTATAGGGGGTTGTAAAGGTTTGGTTATGGGGCACGGGGGCCATGTGGTCCGTGAAGGAGGGAGAGGGAGGGGGAGGGGAGGGGAGGAGGGGGCTCCCCAGGCACTGCCTGGGACTGCGGCTTGCCAAGTGTCTGACACATGACTGGCTGGCTAGGAGATGGAGAGTGAGCCGCCCTGTTACCTCTGCTGGGGCGTGCTGCGGTGCTCCGTGCGTGCTCCTGTGTCAGACAGATGGAGGGAAGCTAGGTGATCCTATCCCTCCACGCGGGCAGCTGGCGAGAGGAAGGGAGCGCTGTCTGCAGGAAAGCTGTGCATAGTTCTTTTGGAGGAACAAGGCTGAGCCCCCCCAGGAGGGACCTGTGCTCAGGATAGAGTCCAGAGGCCCTGGAGGAGCCCGTGGGGTGAAGGAGCAGACACAGGGCGTGGGAGCGGCCGGGCGGGGTCCGGCCCGGAGCCCAGGACACAGGCCCTTCTGAGGACCACAGGGTGCCGGGCCCGGCCGGAGCCTCTGCGGGTGGCAGGACCGGCCTCTCATAGCCGGGTGGGGTGGGGGCTCGGAGGGCTGTCTCCCGCCAGCCCTGGCCTCCTACAGGACCCTGGACAGGACCAGCTCTGGGCAGGGCCACCTCGAGCAGCGCCTTGGGCCTCAAGGAAGCCTGTGCAAAGCGAGAGGGTCTGGGAGAGTGAGCTGCTCTTCCACCTGCCCAGGACAGCGATGTCTGCGTGCTGGGGACCCGGCGATGGCGAAGGTCACAGTGTGACCCGGACAGAGCCGCAGCTCCCCGCCCAGGGTCGCCAGGCCCGGCTGTCCCTGGCTGTGCCCAGCTGCACCTTTGGCCACCCTGTCCATCCTTTGGGCAGTCTGACGGTTCTGCCTTCTCCCCTCTGCCCCCTCACGTTCCTGTGAGGGACTCGCTGTACTGGGAACAGACGCTGAGCCGGCCCCGCCCCCGCCCCCCACCTCAGGGTGCCCGAGCTCCTCGAGGGTCTGCATGAAGTGGGGCATGCACTTGGCTCTGACTGCAACCTGGGCGCCTCCAAATGGCAGGGCCAGGGCCAGAGACGACCCTAGCCCAGGGAAGAAAGGGAAGAGAAGCCGGATCTTTCAGCTTGGGATTGGCATGTGTCTGCGTCTGGGGACGTCAGGTCCAAGAGCCAGGGTTTTAACCCGCTTCCCCAGGATGAGTTCTGTGGTCTTTCAGGGTGGTGGGAGTAGAGCACGGAGTCCCAGCTTGACGCACACCCTTTCTTGGTCCCCTCTGCCACCCGCATCTCAGCGTGGACATGGGCGTAGCGCGGGTGCCTTCTTGCCCTCCTCTGGTCCAGATGGCCCAGCCCCCTCCCCTATGCTCGCAGTCAGAACTCTGCCCCCACTGCCTGAGCTTCACCTGCCTCGGGCCTCGGGCTCCGGGCTGGGCCTTTCTCAAAGTGCATGGGTAGGGGCTACCTGGAATCGTCTGTCTCCAGACCCTTAGCAGGACGTGACCCCTGAAATGAAGGAGGGTCCTTCTGAAGAATGGGGCTCACTTCCTTGATACACGGGTAGAAAAAAACAAGACCTCAGGGCAGAGCCAGCCTGCAAGCCGCCGGCCACCTTGCATGAGGGCTGATGCTCCTGGGCTTCTGGCAGCCTTTCCTGTTTCCTCTTCTCTTCTTCTATCTTCTTCTTGTTCTTTCCCATTTTTGAGAAAGGGTCTTAGCAGGTAGCCAAAGATGGCCTTGAACCCCTGCCTCTGCCTCCTTGGTGCTAGGATCATAGGTATATGTCACCCTTCTCCTCTCCCATGTTGTGTTGCTTTGTTTCACAGTGCTGGAGTGGGATCTAGGGCCTTGTGCCTGCTAGTGGTCTATTCCTGAGCCACATGCCCAGCCCTCCTTGGCCTCCTCCTGACCCCAGCCTGGCCGGTCTCCTTCCCGATGGCCTCCAGACAGTGCCCAGCCCACTGGAACGATCACCAGATGCAGGCGAGGTTCTGAAGTTTCCTCATAAACATAGGGACTCTTCACTTAGGGCCTTGACTTTACGGAATAAGAATTTCTGGACAAGTCACGATGGTAAGAAAACTTGGCGGAGCTTTACTGAGCAAGTAAGCAAGCAGGCAAGCAGACAAGCAGACAAACACAAAAGGGCAGAGACACACTCAGAGTATGGGTGCTCTCAAGATAGACACACACACACACACAGAGATCCTTGCTGTTATGGCTGTTTAGGGTACAGGCAGGGAGTTTGGCTTCAAAGTAACACGAAGATCAGTGTTTCATCTTTGCTATATCCACTCCTGGTGTTACTTTCTGGGTTTCTGGATGCTTGGGGCGTTTCTTCCAGGCAAGAAAGCATCCTGCCATAAAACAGACGCTTCTCCTTGAGATAGGAAGGTGTTCTGTTGTCTACATTTTAGGTAAGAGGTTGCCTACGTTTGGGGGGGGGCGTATTTTTCTCAGGATGCATACGTTCAATCTCGGGGTTAGAAATGCATCCTCAGGATCTCTGTCCTTAAAGCGAAGATGGCACTTCTTTCTAAATACCATATTCCTGAGTTGCCTTCACCAGGCTTATTTTCCTCATTTCCCCTTAATCTTAAGGGAAGCAGATGAATGGCTTCCTCTGTACCTGCTGTAAGCTGGACATTCTCCTTGTCTATCCTGCTTCAGAACCTCAGCTCAGCAGGGTGACCAAAAAAGCAGTGGACAAGGGGGGGGGGCAGGGAGCTTAGAATGAGAAAGACAGGTGTACAGAAAGACAGACAGACATACAGAAAGACACACTGAGATAGAGCTTGAGAGAGATAAGGGGATGGACTAAGAAAGACAAAGACAGGAAAAGCTGACACGACACACAGACACATACACAGACACATACACACAGACAGATACACACAAAGACACAGACCCAGACAGACACAGACACACAGATATACACAAAGACACACACACAGACACACACAGACACACAGACACAGACACACAGATACACACACAGATATACACAAAGACACAGACACACAGACACACACACAGACACACAGACACAGACACACAGATACACACACAGACACACACACAGACACACACACAGACACACAGACACAGACACACACACAAAGCCCCTTCCTGATTCCTTTGTGAGGGTCATAGCAGAACGAGCCTTAGGCCCGCAGCCTACCAAGGCCCAAGAGTCCCTGCCTGCACCTCCTGCCTCCTCCCGTGCCTGTCAGGTCCGGGACTGTGTGGCCTCTCCACCCGGCAGCCTGTGGGATCCCCTGTGGGGACTGAGGGGAAGAAAACACTTTAATTCTCTGCAGAGTGCGCTAGGGAGGGTGCTTGGGGGGAGAGCAGGCCTTTGGGGTCGGAGCAGCGCGAGGCCCAGGGTGCCTCCAGCTGGGGCCAAGCTTCTGGCTGGAGAGAGCCGGTGGTCAGGGCGAGCTGCCAAGTCGTGGGCCAGCCCGGAGCCGGCTGAGGGCCGCCGCTCTGCTCTGCAGTTCCGGGGCAGGGGTGGGGAGAATATTTATGTAAATACGGTGAGCTGCTGGATTCTAGAGGGATGAAATCATGCTCCTCCGGCACGGGGTCTGGGAGCTGGCCAGGAGGGCTGGGCGGGCCGGGGCAGCACTAGACCCTCGGTGAGTGGGGGCTTGGCAAGGGAAGGTGGCCGGGATGCGGGGAAGTCGGCAGGAGGGCTGGGACTCTGGCCTGGATTCTGACCTGCTCCAGGCCCTGCTTCCCCGCAGGCCAGCCATGATCCGTGGGGATCTGAGTCTGGCCCTGGGCACAGCCATGTGGAAGAAGAGGCATGCAGGGAGAGAGCACCATAACTGAGCCGGGGCCGGCGGGAGTGTGCCGCTGACCGAGGGGAGTGTGCTGCAGGTCTCTGGCATTGCCCTGCCCTGACTCCTGAGGGCTCCATGAAGCAGGGCCTTGCAGGGTGTCCCAGCCAGATGTCAGACCTGGGGGGGGGGGTCACTGGATGCACAGGAGCACCTCGGAGGCATGGGGTAGGGAGGGACTTGTGAGGACACCGCTCTGTGGAAGTCTCATTTGCTTAGACTGCAACCTGGCCCTCTGGCTCAGGTGACCTGGCCTCTTGCTGGCCAGGCCGCCGTGATCTTCAGGAGTAGAGGTCTGACACGCACCTGGAAGGCGGACTCTCTTGGCGGTGGCTCTGGACTTCGGGCCCTCCGGGTGCAATCTGTCTTCCGTCCACGGTGCCTGAACTCACTCTCCCTGGCAGTGCTCCGGGCAGGACAGATGTGGCCACCTCTCCTGCTGCCCAGATCACATTCCTGGCCCTGGATTAAAGCAGTCTTGCAACAACAGAATGGCCTCTACTCCAACCACCCTTGCACAGCCCAGTGGAGGACATCTGGTAACAGGTATCTGTAGAGAGCCTGTGCTGGGGGCCAGGGCGGGCAGGGGCGGGGCGTGGAGACAGAAGCCGAGAACAGACCACGGCCGTGCAGCTCCACAGCGGAGTCCTCGTGAGTGTGGAGATGCTGGCAGGGCCTGCACCTTGCCTGGAAACATGGCAAGTGCAGGCAGGCCAGATGGCCGGTTTTGGCCTCTGTCCTCGCTCTCTGATTTTGGCGTAGGATACAGATATGTGATCCAGCAGCCAGCTTTGGACCATGAGGAGCTGATCATGAGGCAAAGTCTGACTAGTACAAGAAGGCCCTACCCTAGGCCCAGCCCTAAGCCACTTCCTGTAATTCTGCCAGTGGCAACCGCAGTCCTGCCCTGGGTGTGGGCTGAGGGCAGCTCACACAGACACCGGGTGGCAGAATCCACCTGTTAGCAAAGATTGGGTGGGCAGGGCCTTGCAGACGGCTCCGGTGCAGGCCCCACACCTTGCCTCCTAAGCAAGGACTCCACGTCCTTCGAGGCCTACAGGGAAAAGCAGGAGCCAGTGGAGCGTGTGAGCACCCAGCTCAGACTGCCGCCAGTCACAGGAGTTGGAGCATGTGCGCAGGACAGGCCCGTGTCTGGGTGGCCCAAGAGGCAGAGGAGGCTCGTGTGGACATGTGTGGTGCAGCCCCCTGCACCCGGGGCTGAAGCACAAGATGTGGGTCCACTGTGGACGGAGACAGACCTGTAGGCACGGGGCGCTTGAGTGTGAGATGTCACCTGTGTTGTGTGTGCGCACACACCCACCTGCTCTTAGAGTCCCCTGCCTTCAGGGCTGCCTTCTCCTGTGGAATGGCCGACGCAGTCTGAGATGTTCCCTGGGCAACGTCTCCACGGCTCATGCCTGGACTTTGAAGATTCTGGGGAGTCTGAGACGCTGTAGAAGATGAGACGGCCCCGTCTCCTCCTCCAGCTCTGCCCTGCTTCTATGTGGGGCTCTGAGTGTTGGAAGGGGGGGAGGGGCAGTGTGGGCAGAAAAGCCAGCAGCCCCGCTCTGGAGAACTTATGCACTTTGGCAGGAGGGGAAAACATGAGGGGAGTTCCTGCCTGCTGCCAACCCTTAAGTGTCACTGCTCTGGGGACCTGCATGGGCTGGGAGGTCAGAGGTCAGCGGAGGGGCGGCACCGGGCGTGAGGAGAGGCCGGGCGGTCCCTCGGGCTCTGCACTGACTCCAAGAAAACTTTGCTCACCTTTCCTGGCTTCTCTCTCTGATTTCTCTGACTGCACAGCCCCAGGATCCTGCTTCTTCTAGAAGTTTCTCCTGTGTGGATGAGGATTACGCGCTCCAGCACGGATAGCCTTGACCCACGGCGGGCTCTGCCCCACGCCTGAGCTCGGCACAGGGGTCTGTGGGTGGTGGGGTGTACGCTGTCTGCCTCCCTTCTGGCTCTTTTTGTCCAGGACCCAGCAGGGAATGCAGAGGGAGAACTGTCCTTCCAGCCTCCCTCCGTGGAGACTCCCCAGAGCAGGCTGGGAGGGGAGCGCGGGCAGCACCAGGCCGGTGCAGGCCTCCACCCCAGCCTGCCCCTCTGGGCCCCACCTCTCGCTCCTGGGCCCCAGATGGCTGGTTCGGGAGTGAGTCTTGGGCCAGACTCCCTAGATGACCTGTGAGTGCTGCAGTGTGTGGCCTCAACCTCCCACCTCCGTCCGCGTTCTGGTGATCAGGCAGCCTTGCTGTCCTTTCTCCATGGACCGTCTGGGGTGCATCCCTGGGCGCAGGCCGGGGCTTTGTCCAGCAGAAGGACTGGACGCGGCCTGTGGTCCACCTGAGGAGGCTGTGGGAAGGGTCCCCAGAGCCCAGGCTCAGAGACATCCACCGTCATAGATTAGAAGCTTGTTTTTGCTGGTCTGAAATGGCACAGTTCTCTTGTAGACTTCGGAAAGCCTGGGAAATAGAGAAACCAAACACTTGGACCCCTCCAGGCAGCCTCTGCTCCCCTCCCCCCTCCCCCCCCTCCCTCTCCCTCCCACGAATTCTCGGAATTCCTTCCCCAGCCCCTTGCTGGGCCAGGCAGGGAGAGCTGGGCCAGATCTGGAAGGCTGCACTTTTCTTGCTCTCCTGTCAGGTCAGGGCCTCCAGACTGGATCTTGGCAGGCCAGGAGGCTTCGCGCCTCCCACAGCTGATCACTGCCCAAGGCCTTCAAGCCCTCAGGCTGGCTGCAGGGTCCCCAGCTCACGCCCTCCCTCAGAGGCCTCCGCGGCCTCAGTAGATAGCAAAGCTTGCTTGAGGAGGCCAGCTGGAGCCCACTGGTGCCCGGAGGACTGTGGGCTGGCCGTGCACTGCAGCCGTCCAGCCCTGGAACCGGAGGACCTGACACTGATCTGTTTTTTTTTTAATTTTTTTTTCGTTTTGTTTTGTTTTGCAATGGAGTACCAGAACTGATGGACAGAGAGAAAGACAGAGAGCCACAAACCCAGAAAGATAGGAAGAACCACAGACACAGAAGACAGGGAGACAGACAGGAGAAACGGAGACAGAGAGACAGGGACAGAGACACAGAGAGGAGAGACAGAGGGATGGAGGGAAACGGAGCAATAGTAGGGAGAGAGAGGGATCGTGACACACACACACACACACACACACACACAAGAGAGAGAAAAATACAGACATACTCTAAGAAACAATCAGACAGGTAGACAAGAGAAAAGGCGAAGCAGTGTGCCATCCAAGCTTTGCCAGGTGGACGCGGGCAGCTGCTCTGACCCTGCCCAGCAGTGGCTTTGCCCACAGAGGTCCTGGACCAGCGTGGGAGGGACTGTCTGACCTCCTGCCTAGGCCCTCCACGTGGACCCAGCTCACCTGATCAGTCTGGGTGCCTCTGCACCACTGGCGGCCTCTTCCTCTCTACTACTGGACCCACGGAGGCTCCTTGCGGGGCCAGGCCTGGCGTGTGCCCAGTCACAGGGAGGCCCTTACAGCCTCAGAGCAAGAGCACGGAGGGCCGTGGAGGCACTCAGCGGGGACAGCCGCAGCGTACGCGGCTGCCCAGTCCTTCCTCTGGCCATGCTCCATGGTAAGCCTGCTGCGGAGGGAGCAGAGCAGCAGATGGCCCCCACCTGGCCAGGACCCCCAGGCCCCACCAGGACCGCGTGGTGGAGCTGCAGCTACCTTGTCCTGTACCTACACACCAAGCCCTTTGCCGCTGCCGCCGCAACACACCCTGGCGTTTATCCACACAGGTGGGACAGCGCCAGGTGGCCTCCTCGGGAGCTCCCTGATAGAGCCCACCCTCCTGCCCTCCAGTCGGGGGTCCACAGGACACCTGCCTGCCAGGAGACTCCATCTTGTGGAAGACTTCAGCTATCTTCCTTGGCTTGTTTCTCCACCCGTGAAAAGGAGAAATGCTAAAACTTTTCCCAAGCTAAGGATAGAAGTTAGCGCCTAACTGCTGGAGGAGCTGGGCATGAGGGGATTGTTTGTCACGCAGCAGACGCTGGCTGATGCATCCTCACTGTCCCTGTGTACATCCGCAGTGTGTCCAGGCCCCCCCCTGTTCTCCCCGCTGCAGCCAGTTCAAGGCCTATGCTCCCCTGTGACAGAACCCCAGAGCACCATCTCCTATTAACCAGGGCATGGGATTTCTGCTGTTCTGTAAGTAGGAACAGAGTCCCTGTGAACCTCACTCTGCCATCTCCCCAGGTTGTGGGAGCTCTGCCAACGCCATCCCAGAGCCTGCTTCCCCGCCTGACCCCGGGGGCCCAGCATCCAAGCCACTCGGCTTCAGCAGGGCTCCAGCCCAGAGCCCTTCCCTGCCTGCCCTTGTCTGTGAGCGCAGCGCTGAGACGTGTGTTATTTCACCTGCTGGGTCCCGCATTCCGGGGCAGGGCTGGGGGAAGGTCATAAAAACGTTGCGGTAACCTATATATTATTTTTATGCCGGTGCTTAACACGGTGTCTTTGACACATGCAGGGTAGCCCCGTCATAAATCAAGCATGGGGTCCACCGTGAGCTACACAGGGGGTCACCAGCCTCTCACACGTGTGCGCAGGCCCCAGTGGCCGCTCTCCTGGGGTCCAGCTTCAGGCCCATCTGGGGCCTCCCAGAAAGCCTCCCTGAGAGTGGGGAGAGGGTCCAGGCCAGAAATGCTAGGCAGAGCTCACTTCGGACTTAAAAGCCACAGCTCCTGTAGGTGTGTCTGCCTGAGTGTACTCAGGTATGGCTTGTGTGGGCAGTGGTACACACATGTGCATTCCTGTGTAGAGAAGTGTGCCTGTGCACATAAGTGGGCTTGTGTGTGTGCAATGTGCACACGTGTGTGCACAAGCAGCCCTATGTGTGCAGATCTGTGTGTGTGCCCAAGCAGCCCTGTGTGTGCAGATCTGTGTGTGTGCCCAAGCAGCCCTGTGTGTGCAGATCTGTGTGTGTGCACAAGCAGGCTCATACCTACAGGTAGATGCTTATGTGGGCCTGCGTGGTGTATTGTGCAGGTATAGGTTCATTTGTGTGAGTATAAGCGGGTCTGTGTGTGCAGTTAGGTGCTTGTGTGTGTGCTGGTGCGTGTACATGTAGGTTTGTGTTCAAACGTGTACTCGTGTGTGTGGGTGCACGTTTCACTGTGTGTGCATGCGTGTGCATGCACCATGCTTGGGGGGGGGGTGTCCCAGGCACACAGTGCACCTCGAGCCCTCCTGCCCCTCGGTTCCCTCAGTGGGCCGGGGTCTTCCTCTCCAGCCCCTGCTGGCCCTGAACTCTGTGGTCTTTCTCCCAGGATGGCCAGGTGGATGGTGCCATCCCCAAACTCCCAGAGGCTTAGGGCCCGGATGGCGCCAGGGCTCCCCAGGCCTGGCCAGGGCTGGGCCACGGCCAGGCGGAGGGGGGTGTCTGTCTGCCCCCGCGTGCCGCAGACACGGCAGGGCTGCCCTGGACGGGGCCTGCAGGGGATGCGGAAGGGGAGAAGGGGAGACAGCAGGGGTCTGGGGCTTTTGCACAATGTGGGCCGCTCGGTCTTCTCGGGCTCCTGGGTGCTGGCTCACAGGTGAGGGCCGCACCAGGCTGGCCAGCAGCACTGTCCTGGGGAGAGGAGGACACTAGTGGCGCTGGCAGAGAGGCCCCAGAGGAGGTAGCAGCAAGCTGCAAAGAGGACACCCGGGAATGCTGCTCCCAGCCATGGTGGGGGAGAGCCCCCTCCTCCAGGACGTCCCTACCAGGGCTCAGGGACTCTGGGTCCCGTGGGCCGCAGTATCTGCAGCCGGAGGCGGTGACCAGGGCATGTGTGTAGTCCGGTGCCACCTGGACTGGGGTGTGGGTGAGACAGGCCTCTGGGCCCTCCGGAAGGGCTGGGCAGGGGCTGCTCGCAGAGAACTGCCGGAGGCAAGGTGGACAGCAGAGAGGCTCGGAGAGAAAGCAGGAAAACAAGCTGGAGGACAGGAGCAGCATGGGGAGCAAGCGTCCCGAGTGCTGGCTGCCCAGTCCTGTCTGTCCACGGACAAGGCCTTCCTCTGCAGTGCCACAGTGCGGGGCACGGCACTGACCCTCGAGGCTTTCTGGGTCTAGGCACCGCCCCGTGCTGCCGATGCCCAGACACGGCGGGCAGCCTGGTCAGGCGTCTGCACCTGCAGCTCCACCTGAGACCCCACCGCCCCTCCGGGAAGGGCGCCCTCAGCCCGAGCGCCCCTCCACCTTGCTCAGGAAAGGGGACAAGAGGTGGGGGCTGGTCCCCCCGCCACTGCCTGCAGCGCACGCACACGTGTGCACACGTTTGTACATGTGCGTGCATGCACGTATACGTGCACAGGCGCACAGAGCAGAGGTGGTGTCTGCCTTCCACTCTGACACATTTTATTAAAAAGGAAGAAGGAAAAAGAAGGGAAAATATACGAGAGTCTCCCACAAGGACCACACACGGTGGCCTGGTGCGGCGGCCGCAGGGCCGGCTGAGCCCCAGCTGGCACGGCGGCAGCGAGCCTGCCACCTCCAAACCCAGACCCCCGAGGCAGCCGCGGTTGAGGGCTGGAGCGGAGCCGGGGGGTCCCGGCTCGGGGTTCCTCACAGCATCACTGTCCACTGACTCCCCTGGGACTTGGGACCTGAGGTCACGTGCGGTTTGGGGGCAGACAAGGAAAGCCTTGTCCCTTATGGTGGTTCGGGGGGGGTCATTTTGCCACAGCCCTTACCCGACACTCTTGGTGTTGACTGTGGTGCTGACCCAG